GAAACTGAAATAAGAAATAATATAATAACTATATAGACATATTAAAAAAATTACAAAACCACACAATTACTAAAACTTTAACAAAAAAATACAAATAGAAAAATACAAATAATTCAGAATATTTATAAAAATTACAATAGTACCTCTGTGATGCTACAAATGCTGGTTATAAGCTAAAGTAGCATTGTGAATAATGCAATAATATTAATGCATTAAGTTTTTATAAAAATTGATTTATGCACAGCTTTGTCCTGCTGCTGTATAAATATGAGAGTGATACATATTTTTCACAGCAGCTTTGAACATCAGATGCTAATAATTAGTTAATTTAATTAATTTCCTGTGATTGATTCCCATCATTGATTCATCCGTTTCAGTGAATCTTTCAAAACTCTCATTCATGGTTAATAATACTTCAGTTTCTTGCTTGTTATTGTGCACATAAATAAAATGAATTAAATATTATTTCTTGTTCAAGTGCAAAAGTGTGTTTTTTGTCAAATTGACTGCAGTGGCTGATGGTTGAAATAATTATAACTCTGACTGGGGAAAAACACGTTTTAGTCCATTTCAAATACAATTCCATTTAAAAGTGTGGGGTTGATAAGGTTTTGTGAAGTCTCTTTTGCTCACCAAGGCTTTATTTAATTTGTCAAGCACACAGTAAAAACAGAAAACATGTATTATAGTAATACTATTTCACAATATACTATTGTTATATATTTTAAAATGTAATTTATTCCTGTGATGCAAAGCTGAATTTTTTGCATCATTACTCTTCAGTCTTCAGTGTCAAAAAACATTTCTGATTATAATCCAAAGTTGTTCTGCGGTTTCATATTTTTTTGCAGAAATAGTGATGCAATTTATTTTTCAGTATGCTTTGATTAATAGAAGTTCAAAAGAACAGCATTTATTTGAAATCAAAATCTTTTGTAGCATTATAAATGTCTTCACTGCCACTTTTGATCAATTTAATGCATCCTTGCAGATTAAAAGTATTAATTTATTTCACACAAAAAAATCAAAAAGACTTCGGAAACTTTTAAACCGTAGTCTACATACATAAATCAAGATATATTTATATTTAAAAAACTGTGATACGTTTTTTTTTACTATATTGCTTAGCCATATTAGCTAGCAGAGCCGCAGGACCATAAAAGACAGAATGATGGACGTTAGAAAGGTATATGAGATATGCACTAACAGCCAGAGAATGAGAGAATTACAGAGGCAGTGTTTTTTGTTTTTTTTTTTCTGGCCGTCCCAGCGTGCATTGGGACCTTCTCGCCTTTCTCTCCTTTGTGCATAAAACCAGGTTCCGTTTTAATGAGTTTCACCCTCTTTTATTCTCTGTCTATTATCATATTCTGTCTTCCTCTAATCCATGTTCTACATTTCTCACTCTGTCTTTGGTTGGTGTCTGAAGGCGGTTAGTCAGAGGAGCAGCGTTCTTATCCTGACTGCTGTTTAACTGCAGCATTCGCTGCTGTTAAACTCATTTTACTCCCTAAGGCTTGCAGTGTTTTTCTTCTGTATAAATGAGGTTATGAGTTGAGACTGTGAGAAAGAGCTCGGTGGTGTTTCATCTTCTCAAATGGGGGTGAAATAAAGCCCCGGACTCCAGAATCGCAAAAAAACTGTCCATTAGTCAGTGCAGCATCCGTAAATGAAGGAGAAACCCATTTGAACCGTATGATCGTATCAGCGGTGTCTGCTTAATGATATTGTCCAGATACCAGGAGCACATTAAAGCAATAAGCCGACTGGACGTGATGTTGCTAGGCACAATGCCACTACATAAATGTATGAACAACAATAATAAATCATAAAATAATAATAATAATAATTAATTGTAAATAAACAAAATAAATTGGACAGAAAAACTGAAATTTTACAACAATTAAAGAAGAATATTAAAAAAGTAACAAAAAAGATTGAAGCACATAATAGAATTACTAAAATTACTATTTTACAAAGTAAAGTAACAACTGAAAATAAAATGACTATTTCATCTCATTCAAAATACTATAATAGATAATTTTGTGTGTATTATTATTATTATTATTAATATTAATAATATTTATATTATATACTATGGTCACTTTAGTTTGGGGACAAATTCTCACTATTAACTACATTTTACAACTTGTTCCTCTGTATACTCCTCTAATTTACTGCTTATTAATAGTTAGTAATGTAGTTGTTAAGTTTAGGTATAGGGTAGGACTAAGGGATTTCAAATATGGTCATGCAGTATAAATTATTAATATGTGCTTTATCAGTACTAATAAACAGCCAATATGCTAGTAATATGCATTCTAATAAGCAACTAGTTAATAGTGAGAATTGGTCCCTAACTAAAGTGTTACCTATACTATTGTTACCCCAAATGTTTCGAAGAATGTTTAAATCCAGAGAAACAAGCAATTTTAACTAGTGACACGGAGCGTGTCCATAGTGTCATTGTGTCGCCTGCCAATGACGTCATAACCCCTCTATTTCCGGTTTTGTTTTGTAGAAAACATGGAAACACCAAATACATTTTAAAGTCCCCATGAAATCAAAATAGCAATTTTTTGGGTGTTAGTATCAATATGTTAGTCTTAAGGTTATCTATAAGGCAGTGTGCTCCAAAACAGTGACAAAATTTGCATTTAGAAGATATAAGCATTCAAAGTTTGCAGTTCGTCACTTCCGGCAAAACGGCTCAGCGATTTTTTTGACATCACATCGTACTTCAGCTTCTCATCAAACTTTCTGTCCAATCAAATGCTCTCTAGAATCCGAAGCGCCCGCCCCCTACACTATAAAATAGACACTGAAGCCGCGGATGAAATCGGTCACTTGTAATTAGTATTGGACAGGGAACGATTCAAACAGTGTAAATATGCTTTCCATTGAGGAAAACAAGAAGTCTGGTTTCGCGCTGTCACGCTAACCACCGCACTGCGCGCACACGCTCTGCTCCGGTCCAGAGACACGATAGCACGGAGCGGATCACATGCGCGAGTCGGCGCAGACCACAAAATGTATCGGAGCTATTTGAATTCTACACAGAATGCTATATATTATAGCAATATGGATGAGATTGTGGCTGGCATACCCTGTCAAATGCGGCTTTACGGAGCTCAACGGCTCTGAACGGCTCTAGCCCAAGCTGTGATATAAACAAACGCTATTGGCTATTTTAAAAAGGGGTGGGGCTGCTTGATATGTCCCGCCCTGTCTTCCTGTTTCAGTTAAAATGACGTCAACTCATAGAGTAACGCTGCGTGTTTCTAAGCATTTCAGGGGACCTTTAATATGTTGTGAGTTTTAATAGACTGGTGACGACCACACAGAGTAGCATTATAACAGAACATTCAAATGTATCTAGTATGATAAAACAGCGCTGCTTTACCCCACATATGCACGACTGGAAGGAGCGGAAGCGGTCGACTATGGCATAATAAAAGCTCAGCTGCTTTCGAGCCGTGTGTCGCGCTCGTTCAGCGGCCTCGTTTCGCTTCGACGGCTTTCAGCCTCACTCTGCTTCATTCTACTACGTTAATAAATCATTAACTCTTCCATGAACATGATTTCAGTCCCATCAGATTGCATTGGCTGTTTGGATGAAGACGACAACTCCCATGATTCCACACTCAGTCACAGCGTCATCAAACTACGCCTTTGTCTATTTGTTTATTTTGAATACGCGCCCTCTAGCGGCGAAAATTACAAATTGTGCCTTTAACAGATCTCTTGTCCTTCATTTCTTGACAATTGGAGAAAAGATTATAATATTTTAAGATGGGTGGATAAACAAATGTATGAATGTTATATATGGATTGGATGGATGAATAGACTCATGGGATATATGGATCACAGGTATTGAATGGATGATTGAAAATGAGAGATATATGAAAGGTATGGATGGATGTAAATATAGAGCAGGGGTCGCCAACTGGCGAGCCGGACTGCGAAGCCTTTTAACAAAATAAAATAAATAAACACTATTTTCTAATAAAATCTAATTGATATTAGGCACATCAAGGTCAGCTCAGTAGAGCCGTTTGGCTTCTATGGCGCCACAGTATGTTATTACATTTCACTGTTGCTATGGTCAGATGTGCAGGTGTGCATGCAGTGAAGAGAGCAGAGAGCGGCGTGCAGACAGATGAAACTTTCAGTGAGTGAAAAACAATGGCATTCTCAAGAATTCTAAAAGTTGACGGGCCCTTAAAAAGTCTTAAGTGGTACAAGAAAGTCTTAATTATGATTTCAGAAGATCTTAAATTTGGGGACGGAAAGAAAAAAATTGCGATACGGCTTAAAGTGATGATTAAACTTCAAAAGCCTATGATTTCATTGAATAAACCTGAGCGCTGCGGTTTCAAAGTCAGGTGCTGCGCTGCTTTGTTTACAGCCGTAACTGGGGAAATTGCTATATTTCTGCTGTTCCAAAAGCACCTCCTGCTGGCAGAGAATGAATGTGCATTTTTATTAAGCCCGTCTGCTGTTTCTGTTCAGACCAAACACACAGAGTTGTAAATGTGAACTGGTGGATTGACAAGAAGATAATACATTATAAAAATCTAAACAATTAAGAAGACAGTAAAATATATTTATATGTTGTTTAAATCATATAATAATTGATTGATAATTGTTTAAATTAATATAATGATACTTTTGACTAGATATATATAAAATATGGTTTAAAGGCTAAAATGTGAAATTTACTATAAAACTTTGTTTTTGTGAAAACGTGTCTCAACTGTAAGTTTTGTTTTTTTACAGGCATTTTAATTTTATTTGTGCAGGTCTTTAAAAAAGGTCTTAAAGTCTTAAATATCCTGCAGATACCCTGGTCTGGCAAACCCCATCAATTAATGTTTTTAGGTATATAATTGTCCGGACCTCTGCTGGTGAGGAGGGTTCATTACTGGACCTCAAGCAATTTTAGTTGAAGACCCCAGATATATAGGGATGAAGGTGTTAATGAGTGTTTTATGTCATAGATCGCAGCAGAGGATTTGTCTGAAGGCAGTTTCTGGTTGAAGGCGAAGGAGGAGCGCTTTGAGAACAAGGAGCTGTTTGCCAAACTCACCCTGACCTTCTCCACCCAGACCAAGAGTGAGTAGATCAGCCGTCCTCCAGTCACATCACACACTCACCATCACACATTAAACCTGACTCTCTCTCTCTCTCTCCTCCGTCTGTCTTACTCAACACAGCCTCTAAAGGTAAGAGACGGCCCTTGCTCTGTGCTTGCACATCTGTGTGTGTGTGTGTGTGTGTGTGTGTGTGTGTCCGCTGAGACTTTCACCATGAGATACTGGGCCAAACTTGACAGAATACAGGGATGTGAAAGAGATGAGTGTCATCTCAGTGTAGACATGTGTGTTTGTGTGCGCGTGTGTGTGTGTGTGTGTGTTTTCTGAAGGAGAGGGTGCATCTCATGAAAACATGTCCACAATTCACCCCAAAACTGAAATAAATAACAAAAAACAGAAACTATAAAACAAAGAAAATGAATCCAGATGTAGGACCATAAATGTAAAGCAAAAACAACAACAAAAAAACGTAATATTTACTTTTTATTTTTAATCATAATTTTCAGTTGTGATTCTCATTACTGGATTAAGGGTAATTTTTTTATCAATTATTTTATTTTATTGATTATTGTTGCTTAATTACTAAAAGTATGCATGCAGGCTCTTCACCAGACCAGAAGTGTGATTAATTGTCATGTAAAAAAAAAAAAAAGGTAAATAAATAAAAACCATCATAACAGTGCAAATAATTTTAATGGCCCTAAACGTAGTCTGTTCTTTCAGAAAATTACTGTTTCATATATTTTCCTTGATATTTTGGGGTTAAATATGACCTGCACATGATCTTGAAGGGTTTCATGAGATTCACCCGGATGTCATATTTTCGGTGACTGTATGCAAAAGCTCCTCATGAATTAGAAATGAGCAAGTGTCAGGTGTGGGGGTGTGTGTGTGTTTCCTGCCACCTGCTCTTTGTCCTCTATGACTGGCCTTTACAGTTTTATTGCATATTTATATCTGATACGATATACAGCACTGTCGACTTTAACAAGATGTATGTGTGTGTGAAAGTTTTTAGGTCTGTGTATATGGCTTCGCCCTTCAGCAAATGACCTTCAAAGAGTGTGACATTGTCATGCATCCGCCGCGGTCTCTCTCTCTCACACACACACAGACACAGACAGTGTTTTCTGTTTTGAATATGGAATACGAAACCTTGAAATGTCATCTTTGGCAGCTGTTTTCCTCAGGACCACCTGAGCGCCGAGTGTGTGCGTGCATGTGTGTGTGTCCAGCTGTCTGAGTTGATGTAGGGTAACCTTTTCTGATATCTGACTGTAAATGAATGCTGCCCTTTTCAGATCTTCCATCTGTCTGATCCTGTCCATAAAACACGAGCGTGTGTGTGTGTGTGTGTGTGTGTGTCCCCATCCGTCCTTGAGCAGGATTCTGTTGTTCTCTTTTGTCAGGCAGCTGCAGCCATATTTCTCTCTCTCTCTCTCTCTCTCTCTCTCTCTCTCTCTCTCTCTCTCTCTCTATCAATTTCAATTTAAGAGTGCTTTATTGGCATGACAAAAATTATACATTTGTGTTGCCAAAGCAATTGCAGCTGGACTGCTTACAAATAGTACACATGTATTAACAGAAAGAATAATAATAGTAATAATAATAATAATATATAAAAAGTATTAAGCATGTAGTGCAAAATTAATTACTAATGTATAAGTATATAAACTAGAAATAAAAATAAAATAAGGGATTAGAAATTTATAGAAGCAAGATATACAGCTAAGTAATATAATACAGTAATTAGGCGTAATATAATGTAGATGTGCTGGAAACATCAAATCAGGGCAGGTTGAGTGTTTTCTCTTCTATGGTGACAGCCAGACACATATCAAATACACAGCAGTTCTTCTGTTCTCCTAACAGATACGGTAGTTTCTCCTGGTTTGAAATAGTTTTAAATGTCTGATGGATCAGCTGTATTTTATCATAGAACACTGTCCGTATATCTGTGTATTTGGGGCATTCTGTTATAAAGTGCAGTTCTGTTTCCATCTGATTCAGATCACAGTGTGAACACAGTCTCTGCTCCGGTGGCAGCCATGTTTTTCTGTGTCTGCCCGTCTCTATCATCAGCTTGTGTCCGCTGAGTCTGTATCTGGTCAACGTGCTTCTCAGTTTCTTATCTGACACTGTGTACAGATACTCTGCCCAGAGCAGCAGTAGATGTTAGTGAAGCATCAGGACTGAAGCTCGGGATCAGCTGAGGGAAGGGCTTGCTTTCTTGGCTCATCTCTTGGTATTGCAGGGCTTTATAATGATATGATTGGGGGTCACTGAGCTTCAGATGTTTCCAGAATTGAATCGCCCTTTTTTGTATCTTTATGATTAGAGGATATTTACCTAGTTCTGCCCTGCATGCGTTATTTGTTGTGTGCCGGTCCACGTGTAATATATTTTTACAGAGTTCTGCATGCAGGGTCTCAATCGGATGTTTTTCCCATTTGGTGAAATCTTGATTTGGATTTGTCAGTGGACCCCCACACCTCACTGCCATAAAGGGCAATGGGCTCAATTACTGATTCTTATTTTCAGCCAAATTCTAAAAGGGATTTCTATAGGGATCATAATTTTGGTTTTCTTCAGGTTGACTGTCAGAGCCCAGGTCTGGCAGTATTGCTCTAGCAGGTCCAGGTTCTGCTGTAAAGCGTGTGGAGTGGGAGACAACAGAAGCAGATCGTCTGCATACAGCAGGCATCTGAACTGTGACTTGTGTAGGGTGAGGCCAGGGGCTGCAGATCGCTCCAGACTGCTCGCCAGTTCATTGATGTAGATGTTAAATAACATTGGGCTTAAGCAGCAGCCCTGTCTCACTCCACGCTCCTGGGAAAGATACCTCGTACGTTTGGTGCTGATTTTTACGCCACATTTACTTTCAGTGTACGTTGATTTGATAAGGTCATAGGTTTTACCTCCTATGCCACTTTCAATAAGTTTGTAGAATAGTCCTTGGTGCCAAATTGAGTTAAAAGCTTTTTTAAAGTCAATAAAGCATGCATATATTTTACCATACAAATGTGATATTGATTTTTTTACAACAGTTCAATAAATTAGAAGTTTTATTAAGAGACTTACATTTTAGACACCATATTGCTTGTTTTTGCACTATTTCGCCAACAAAAATAATTCCAAACAAAGCCACAGCACTGTTTTGCATCTCTGAGCAACATGACAGTGTTTCGTTGAATCAACCGTTTAAGTGATTTGGTTCAATCGCAATGGCTTATTAACAGTGACTTGCTGCCACCTGCTGGCGGTTTTAATTTCAAATTTAAAGTATCTTTTCATTTTTTAAATTATTTCAAATATCAGTATTCAATGTTTTATGTTTAATATATCAAAACATTATTTATGCATTTGTAACTGCAGGTTAAATGCATTCATGTTCTGCATTAAGCAGCATGTAAACACATCTAAATGCCACTTCAGATGCAGCTTATGTTTGGATTGCAAAGATGAATTTTGTTGATACTGATTTCATTTGCTTGGTAACAGCCCAAATGTCTTATTCTTATTCGCTGATTAAATGTAAGAATTTGACTCAAAAAATAATGCACACTTATAGAAAAATGACTTTATAAAGGTAAAATGCCCATAAAAGGTAAAAATCTATTTAAACTTATCTGACCACCACACAGAATATGAAGAATATCAAAAACTTTAGGAGTCAGCTGTCCACGAAAGTCCTTAAGCTACCAGCATGTTAACACACTCAATCAGTTGAATGAATGACTCCATACTCATTAAGTGATTTATCGTCACTTACTGGTAGTTCAGTTGAGAAGTATGTTGAAAAGTATGCATTTTTCCCCTCAACGTTTCTTATTTGTATATTCATAAATGCATTTAAAACATTAATCTCATAACATTATTTATTGCAGTTGTAATTATT